TGCGCACAAACATATTCGCAGCCGTAAGGGTCTTACGCGCTCTCGTAAAGGCCTGTGCGCATGCGTGAACGCGAAGCATGCGCAGAAAGTTTGTAGCTTTGAGGTCCGGATTATAGATCATTCCGGATTATGGGTGTCCGAATTAACGACTTTTGACTGTAATACGAACATTCAGAAGAAATATGAAGTACATTTGGTAAAGTCTGGTCACAGAGCTGGTGTGGCATAATTTTTAGAATTTAGGTGACACACCGAACAACAACAAAATCTAGAAATGGCAAAACTTTTAGAATTCAGAAGCAGACTTTGGAAGCAGAACTACAGAAAGGGCATTAGGCAGCAGAACTTAGAATCCACAGTGACTGCATCAGGTGGGAAAATGCCTAGTGCCTAGCTCTGTGTATGATGCATAAGACATATTAGATTAATCTTCTTAAATTGTAAGTTTGTCAATTTCCTTTATTAATAAAATCATTCCTTATCTATAATGTGCCTGCCCTATGTGATAAGATTAGAAGCATTTTTGGTATTTTCCACGCTTGTATCTAGTGAAAAGTAGAGAAAATAAAGGGAAGATAAAAATGTTAAGTAAGCGGTTCTAGAATCAGAAAGTAAAACATTCAACTATTATGTTTTCAGTGTTCTTCCAGATGTTCTCCAAAATGTAAGAAACTGCGTGTTACTACCACGGAGACATTTTAATTTTATCACATTTTTCTGGAATCTTCTAGAATCACGGGCCTATAACTTGCCTTCAAATCCTTTCTAAACTGTTCCAAGCTTCAATGTCTAAAATCCTAAAGAAAAATTGCCTTTACCAATTCTGTAACAACAAAAAGCACAGATTTTTTCCTTAAAAAAATCAGAGTAAAAAAGATTGTAAAATTAATTTAATAGAGAAATCTGAATGCATATTCTGTGAATTCTGAATATTTTGAGATAATTACATGGGAAAAATTCTTACAATGAAAAAAATTAAAAAGAAGACACTTTTTAATTAATTACATAGCTACTTTGCTTTTGCTAAGAACTGTTTTGTACACTGTGCTTTATAGCATTTTATTACCTTATTTATTTTTCAAGATTCAAAATATTGTACAATAAGTCGCCAAAATGGAAAGTAATGTCACCTTATTTTGACAGTGAAAAATAAAAATGCTTTATTTTAATGTTACTTCTTAAATATAATTCCAATATTTACCATTATTTTAATGAAATTTATCAATGTTAGAATGTTCTAAAAAAATCATTCAAAATTTCCAGATCTCGGAATTACAAATTTTCTATAGAAACCGATCTTAAAATCGTCAAATTTAGAACCGTTTAATAAAAGAATTCACTTCCCCAAAAGCGGAAAGTTGTTTGTTTGAGAGTTCTTCATTACAAAAAATTAAATAATTTTGAAATGCTTATGTTTCACTTCTTGCTCAGAAAGTCGAGTATCCCACCATTATTTATATTACAAATAGGAACAAATTATAACTCATGAACCCATTCAAAAAATAGCCATATTTGTCTGTGAATCGCCAAAAATATTCCTGCAAAACACTAAATCACACCCAAAAGTGGCAGTCGTAAAAACAGACAGACATTTCAGATGATTAAAATTAAGGACTTCTGCCAATTTTGGCCAAAATTAAGGACTTTTAAGAATCAAAAATCGATTCCAAAAAACTTAAGGACTTTTAAGGACTCTTAAGGACCGTACGAACCATGGGAAATGTAGTTAAATGATATTAATAATCAGCACAATCTATAACAAATCTAGGATTATTATATATAGTAGGTTTTATTATTTTATATTTCTTTCAAAGTAGTTAAATAATACTAGATTTATAGAACATAAGACTATCAAGTTACATTGGCACTACTAAAACACTTTGAGAAGAAATGAACTAAAATGTTTTTTCTAACTCACTTCTTGTAACCATAAAAATGCCGAAGACGAGTGCACATCAGCCACATAATATTGTTGCATTTTTCTCTCTACTTTTTCTGACACCAGTTGTTACGTTATTTTCTTCCTTCACGTTCGTACGGGGTTCGTGTAGATTTGGAGTGAATAACGACGACACTTTATGCAGTATCGAAACACACTTTATTTGCCAGTATTATCAGGACAGCTCCAAAACATGTTTTACAGCCGCCGAAGATTACCATAAACACGCTGACATGATCAGCGACACAGCCTTCAGGTTATCAGGGTGTCATGGTTGAGACAGCTTCCTGCAAAGCAGCCGACTCTGCTTTCCGGAGAACAGCTCCCGACTCTGCTTGGCCATTCTCGGAACTCCACACTACAAGTCGCGATGCACTCGACGACACACGAGCACAGCTCCTGACTCTTCGATTCAGTCTTTCCCGGAGCTCAACACGCTCTCTAGACGATGCACTAACCGCGATACACTAACACTTCTTCAGTGGACTCGACGACCCACTCGGCACTCGCTGATCGGCTGTCAACTCGATCGTCTCCACAGGGATTGACTTGCTAGACGAGGCACACACACTCTCCCTCTCGATGAAGCACACTTACTGACTGCGGACCAGCAGGGTTTAATATAGCTTTCGGCTTGTGTTCGGGAACATTCTGGACTAAACCGGTAAGAATTCGTTCCAGAAGGTTCTCCAACCGTCCATGGTATATAGCCAAATGCCACCAAATGTGGTAACCCTTCCCTCCTTGCTATTTTATGGCAACCCTAAAACTGCTTTGCAGGGAAGCCATCTCACCGCGCCTTTACATTTCATAACAATATTATATCTATGATCTTGTTTTTTATTACTATTAAGCTTTTGTATGCGCTTGTAATAACATTAATGTATTTGTTACTTATATTATTTTAGTTGCAGGTAGAATATGTTATTAGTGTTAAAATCTACATCATATTATTAATGGATATATCCCTCATGACAACAACTAACTTTTGGAGACTCAAATGCTTTGCTGAGTGCACATAAGGTAAGCTGAATTTTGCTATCTTTATTCTTCACAGATTGGATAATTTAGCTTGAGAAGAAACACATAAAGCTAAGATAGAAATATTGTTGAACTTAGTTTACATAATGCCTCGAAAATTTCTAATTTTAATATTTTATTAGAGTTGAAAGATCACATCTTTGTTTTTAAAATAAATGCATGACAGCCCTTTTCAAAACTTACAATACAAAATAAAAAATAGATAAATACAAAATGAATATACAGATCTAAAAAAAAATTAATTAAAGAAAGTGAGAAAGATGAAAGAAATTTAAGTACTTTTCATTATGTAACATTTAAAAATTTTAACTAATTTAAATTTATTAAATTATTCATCTATATTTAGGGACCAAATCATTTGTTGATTCACTTCCTTAATGCAATTCATTCCTTTTAAATTTATTGGTTTGAGTGATCCAGTTTTGTATTTTACCGCAACAGATTTGAAAATCTAGGATTTACTGAGCAAACAGAGACTGTGTTCAAATAAGCATTTGTAGAAAGTCAACTATTTGCTAAAGGTTAAATAATTCTGCTACCTTCGATCTGCAAAGAAGAGAAAGGAACGTGATTTGAAAACTCTTGCATTTCGTTTTCACCAGTCCACGATTTATTTATCCCTGGTAAAAGAACTGACTTCCATTAATTTTTGTGAGGAGGTTCAATTAAATTACAACAGGATTGTAGAGTACAGCCAAGTTGTATCATTTATGGTAACCTGAGTAGTTGAATGTTATGGAAACCCTATTATGCTAGTTTTATTAAAACAAAACTAGCAGGTTGCTGTAGCAGGGTTGGTTGCCAAATTTTTGCCAAGTTACCATAATCCAAAGATTAACAACAAGCCTACGTATACATGGATAAAGTTAAAAGAGTGCGCAATGCCATTTTTGTGCAATTCGGGGATTTTTTTTTAAGTGAAAATAAGTCGATGTGTACATGGATACCGAGTTTGTGGAATTGTTTGTCTTGTTATTTTACTTTGTGTAGCGGCGATTTTTGGCGCAAAAATCGCTGCTTCGCAAGCCAAAATAACGAGTCAAAGAATTGCACAAAATCGATATCCATGTACCGCCAAAAATCGCCAAGGGGTACCCTAAACTATACTTTTACCGAAACTGTTCCTTTAGCATCTCTCTTGATGATAATACTGAAGTGAATGATGTCGCAAAACTTGTGTTTGTTTTTATGTTGCAACTGTATGTTATTTTTTATTTTAACAAATATGTATAGAAGATATGGTTAAAGATGGATATGTATAAATTAAATATTTTATTTACATTGATGGAATAGTTACATTTTATTTTATATTAATAAATACCCTTAAATGATGTATAATTAATGCATAATAAAGCTTGAAATCTGTATTCTTGACCTCTAGTCCCCAAGTCTGCATGCATAGCTGCAGGAATTAAATTATTTCAAATATTTCCTACTGTGCAGCATTCAGAATCATATTGGTAGATTGGTTTGGCACACCACAGCTACAAGGTTGCCGACTTCAGATCTAGAACATTCACTGAACCTTATCACATGGCTATGCTATGCTCCATTTTTGAAACCAGAAACAAATTTTTTCACATAGATGTTTTCTAATGAAACCACATATTATAATAAAAATTAACAACAAAAGTAAAGGATTATATTATTTGGCACTATTATTTTTCTTAAATACTTGTGAGCAATGTAAAATTCTGAAGTTATTTTTTTCTTCAAAAAAATCGATACTGATAACGTTAAAAAAAAAACGTGTTGCACATGTAAAGATAAGTCGGAACATACGTTTGTTACATTCATTTAACTTAATCGTAAAAATAATGATAGGGATAAAAATTTTAAACATATACGAGAAATAAAAAAATTAAGTTTGATAAATTTACAATCGGTTTTGAACACAAGTCTTAACTTTAATAAAAATATATCAAGAACAAGAAATCTACATATAATGAATATAAAAGTATTTAACCATTAAATCTTCCAAAAAAGGACTAATCAGAATTTAAAAAAAATAGAAGCTTACCTTGAATAGAATTATGAATTACACTCTCTTGCTAATTATGTCAATCAGCCACCGGTGTTACAAGCAAATGGCCGGATTTCAAACCTTACAGTTAGCCGCTCTCCCGCAACCGCAATCGGAAAAGACGCCACGCGTATATTTGCTATTACTTTAGCCTCATAGTTCAATTTCGGATAAGGTTCGGAGAACAGCCTTGACGCCAAAACGGGGAAAAAATATATTATACAAAGAAAGGAAATAATATATTTCCGAAATAGTCTTACTCTAAAATGAAAATATAAGCTACAAGGTTTCTTGAATATTTGCCTTACGAACTTCTCCATTTTATTAGAAATCCTCAAATCTTGCAACACCACTGGCTGTTTAGGAATAAATGAATTTCACTTGGATTATCGTATCTGGAGTATTATCGCATACTTGGAGGGAAAAAATCAAAGCAAAGAGTCATGTATTCCCAAAAATTAGCATATTATTATTTAAATGTAAGATAATTTGAAACTGACGTGAAATAAATGCAATTAAAAATGCATACTAGATTAATGAATAAGATAATGTAAACGCAAAAGAAGTTTTAAGGAAGTAAAAAGTAAAATTTGCATTCAAGCAGTACTAATTTAAAATCTTTGGGCCCTAGTCTGGACACCATCGAGATGGAAGAATGGGTCTTTCTTTGCGATCCTAAATTCAACATTCATATTAAATTGCTTTGAGTTCAAGAAATTATTTAAATAGTTTTAATTGTACAGATATGAATGTCAATTTTGAGTAGTTTTTAGAATCTGCCTTATAATTCAAGTTAAATCTACTTTTGGATATTACATCAGTTTTGCGTATTTTTTATTCATATTTAAAAAGCATTTTTGTTCTTATGTGATTACGGCAAAGCTTTGAGAGCTATCTGCCTAAGGTGAGGGTTGCCTTCGTAGATGACTTTCTAAGGGAACTAGCTCATATACACGTTGCACATTGGGAAAATCAAGAAAATGCCCATGCAGCCAGCCCGTTCGTTGGATTCGAACCTGGAACCAGTGTTCAGCGATTTTACCGCTCGGCCACTGGCGGATGGATTTAAAAAGGGTACAAAGAGGAATATATACTGCGCAATTGCTTTCACTGCATATGTTAATATATTTATAATACAGTTATATATATATATATAGATTGATTGCGCATGCTCGCGCCATGTTGGTTTGTGCTTTCTTCGGCTCCTGAAAATACGTTGTTTTTTCTGGTAAATACTATTTTATAGCTTTTTATTTTGTGATATTTTGAAGCTAATTGTGTTCCGGTTGTAATATTATATCACACTTTATGTTTCTGAGACTATTTGACGAACTTATGGACGTTTGCATTTTTATGTGTCTACGCGGCTCGTCGTGCTTTGTCTACGATTTTTGGATTATTATTTCTACGATATAAAAGGTATGAAATGATTATCACACTGTAGGTACGTTTGATTTCTACATTATTCTACTGTTTTAAAAAGGGTACTGATTGGATAATGCTTTAACAAATTTGTCAAGAAATTCAGACAGAGCCATTTAAGTCTACTGCTATATTAGCAGATGGACGAGCAATTTTAAGTTCTTTAGAAACTGTATTAGACTCAAGTAGAGTCACGAATATTTCAAAAGGAAAAATTATTTCTATGGCATATCAAATTTATGATTTATTGGTTACACAAACTTTTGATAATGCCATCCTTAAGGGAAGGCTTGAAGAGCAAACAAAAATGTTATCGAATTTTCAGCCACTTTCATTTGCAGCAGTGGCAGATCCAAAACGTTTTCCTCAGGAAACAATACAGAAAATACGAGATAGATCTACAAGTAGAAATAGGTCCGAAGAATTCCCAGTTCTATTCTATCCAAAAAAGGAAGGAACTACTTCCGAGGAGGTCAAAAACAAAATTGTAAACTCAATTAATCCCACCCAGTTACACATTGGTGTTACACAATGGTTTTAAAGTACCCAGTTACACAATTGGTTGTTAAAGTAATACTAAGACAAAATTAATAAAGGAGGTGTTCTAATAGAATGTTCCAAGGCTTCTGATATTGAAGCCTTGGAAACAGAAGTTAATACAAATGATTTGCTTAGAAACGATATGGTAATTCAACGTCCTGTTAAGAAAGATCCAAAAATTATTATTTATGATGTAGATTCTGGTCTTTCTCGAGATGATCTTAAGATTATGATTAGAGACCAAAATATGGTCTTTGAAAATGGTGGTTTTGATTTAAAATTTTCGACAAAAAGGTAGAAATAACAAAGTACATTGGGTGGCCAGTGTAGATGCTAAGAAATATAGAGAACTTATAAAAGCAGGAAAACTTAGCATAAGATGGTCTCGTCTTAGAATTAAAGAATTTTTGAAAGTAACTCAATGTTTTAAACGTTTAAAGTATGGGCACTTTAAAACAAAATGCCTAGAACCGCAAATATTTGCTAAGTGTGGTGAAGTTGTGCATAAACACTGGGAATGTAAAGCTACTCCAAAATGTATTAATTGCAAAGAGGCAAATGAAAAATATAAATTGAAGCTTAGCGTTAATCATTCTATCTTAGATAAAAATTGTCTTTGTCACAAACGACAAATGGATCTTTTAATCAGTTGTACTAATTATGGATAGTAGACGTGACGAATACTTTAAAATGGTTCAAATAAATTTACATCACGCCAAAGCTGCTGTAAATCAATTATATATTGAAACTATTAAAGAGGCTATAATATAGCCTTGATTCAAGAACCTTATGTAGTGGATAATAGAGTTCGGGGAATCCCGATGAAATTTCGAACTTTTTGTGACAAAAATTATCCACGAGCGGCAATCATTCTGTTTGACAGCTCTCCAGCAATACTTTTGAATGCTTCCTCGAATATAGTGGCTATCAAAATTATCATTAATAATAGAAACATAGTTATTGTTTCAGTGTATTGCTCCCCTAATGATGCCTTGAATGACTATTTATATTGTATTAACAGTATTATTGATTCGCATGAAGACTCGGAAATAATTATTTGAGGAGATTTCAATGCCAAGACTTCCCTATGGGGTCCTTATGATTACTCTTCTTAGAGTGATCATAAGGACCCCATAGGGATCCAAAATCCCATAGGATCCAAAAGGTGATGCTATAACTGACTTCTGCTCGACAAACAATTTGAATGTTCTTAATAATTCTGCTAGCCCGGCTACGTTTTTCGGTGCCAGAGGCGAAAGCCGGATAGACCTTACCATTGTAAGATCTTCTTTTGTCTTGAACTGGTCTGTTTCTATGAATATATCATGTAGCGATCATCGCTATATTGAGATTGGACTTTTAAACAACTTACTTAGAGAGAAGAAATTTGAACGTTTCTATATTTGGGATCTGACTTGGCTAAATTTTCGTGCAGAACTGTATAACTTTATAAATAAAGTTTCCGAAGAAAATTTAGAAAATAATTCTGATTTAAATATTTATATTAAAGATCATACCAATTCAATAGTGGATATCTGTAAGAATCCACTATTGAATTGGTATGATTATTGAATTAGAAAAATAAGAAGATGAACAAATTTAAACAGGTGCACTGGTGGTCCGAAAAACTGGCTGTTTTAAGAAGTCAAGCTCGACTGTATTGAAGAAAATTCAGAGATGTTATAATCGTATAGAGAAAAATTTGTTAAAGATTCAATATAAGAAGAAATTAGCTGAATATAAACGAGAAATCAACATTAGTAAAAATTGTGCTCGAGAACAACTATGTGACACTTTGAATATTCATCAACCTTTTGGCATTCCTCACTATATTGCTGTTAATAAATATAAACCAGCTTTACAAATTTCCTCTTTGAAATATCAAGATGGGTCTTATACTAAGAATATATAGACGAGACAGCAAATTAACTCCTACAATATCACTTTCCTTGTGACTTGTGATACTACTTATGGTGATCTAGCATGTCATTATCAATATAGATCAGATTCTAGGATATATCCAGAGACTGTAAATGATTATGATTTAACTTTGGATGAAGTGAAATTTACTCTTAAAAAGTTAAATAAAGGAAAAGCTCCTGGTAAGGATGGCCTGACAATGGATATTATTTGAGAAATCTTTGAATGTAATAAAAAGTTCTTTGTTGCTATTCTGAATGAATGTCTTCGGAGGGGGACTTTTCCTGAATGTTGGAAAGAGGCTGATTTGGTTTTGTTCAACAAAGAAAGAAAGGATAAAGAAGATCCTTCCTCTTTTCGCCCCATTTGCTTACTGCCTTCCTGGGGAAAAGTGCTGGATAAACTCATGACACAACGGTTACAATATTATTTATTATCAAATAATCTTTTAAATAAAAATCAATTTGGTTTTATGCCGGGTAAAAGTACTACCCAGGCTATAGATAATTTAATTTCTAACATCCTTCGAAATAGAAGAAATGGTAAACATACTGCAATTTTATCCTTAGATGTCAAGAGCGCTTTTAGCAATGTTTGGTGACCAATTTTATTAAAGGAATTAAAAAATATGAAATGTTTAAGAAATATCTTCTTATTAACATGTGATTTTCTGAATGAAAGAAAAGTTTTCTTACATGATGGTAATAAGTGGCATCACAGAAATTACCAAAGGGGTTGTCCCCAAGGCTCAATATTTGGTCCACTTTTGTGGAATATTATTGCTAATATAGTTTTAAACTTAACCTTACCACAAAATGTTAGTATACAAGCTTATGCTGACGATTTCGTTTTATTGGCCACGGGAAGGCCTTGCCATACTATTGATAAAGCTTTAAGTTTCGCCAATCAAGAGTTGGAGAGGTGGTCTTTCCATGTTAAACTCAATATTGATCCAAAGAAGAGTTTTCTTTTGGGTATTGCCAAAACTAAACTAACTAAAGCTGGTAATAAAATTGTCGATTGTTTCAGTGAGATCTTCTCAGCTAAAGATTTTGACTTTGAAAAAGGTTTAGACATTCATCCAGCTTTGTTGAAACAGTTGAATTGGCATAAGCCTCCTCAATATGACAGGCTACACGATTTTTACAGATGGACCTAAATTAAATGGTCATGTGGGGGCAGCCTTTTGTGTGTTCTCAGATGAGAAACTAAGCATACAAAGGAAATATAGA